AATAAATTCTACGTGTATTTATTTTTGTTCGGTAAATAAAATTAAACACCGAATTTATTTTTTCTTCTTTTTAAATGAAAATATAGAAAAATCTAACAACTTGTTTGATGTTTTCTGCCAGTCGATATAGATCGATTTTTGGCAGTAGTTGTATGGAGTTTCTGTCAAAAATCGATCTTAATGATCGATTTTTGACAGAACTCATTTTGGATTGAGATATGTTATAGAAATTGGCAGACAAGACAGAAAAGAGAAATTCCTTCAATTGGCCATAAAAAAGAGCGGAGCGCGCAAAGTTTTACTGAAAACTTTTTCGGTTTATAAAAAAAAATTCAGTAACAATGACAATGTAATCTACTCTCTTATTAATACGTCATGTCATTCACTTTCCATGCATGAGAGTGCGAGTTCGAAACCTACCAATGTGACATTTTCCGAGTTATATGTTCTTTCTAAGATTATCTAGACACTACTGACAAACGGTGAAGGAAAACATCGTGAGGAAACTTGGGCTTACAATTTCTAATAATAAGTTTGAATTCGCCAAGCGCATTGAGCAAGCGTGGTGATTGATGCTCAAACCTTGTACTAGAAAAGGCCTTTGGTCACCAGTGGCCACTTATAGGCTGTTGATGATGATAATACTGTGTTCAAAACAGTGTCTCATTAAGTAACTATTTACTAATTATAATTTCAGCTCCAAATAAAAATACATTATTATGTAGATAACTATTTTATCTTTGTCATCGATTACGTCATTCCAAACCAAGGTCGCGGTTTGAACTTGTCAGATATTTAATTTTGTATGAAGATTTATTACTTTTTCTTGTCTATAGGAAACTGTGCGTTGTTGCTAAGGACTGTGGGATTGTTTTTGAATGTTCAGGATGTTTGACCTAATTTCTGTGATTGATTTTGCAACAAAGATTTTTATTAATTTCATCTGTTATGGAGTGTGAGATTTAGACTACATTTTTGGTAGGTAAGAAATATAATAGGGTATATGATATGCATAATTATTTTTAAATAAATCATGAAATGGTTATTTTACTTATTTATTCAATTTCGTGTTTTAAATCTTCTGAGTATAGGAATGAATTCTAATAAAACACATTTATAATCAAGGATTTTACAGAAATTTCACCTAGAAGTTATGACAATTTTAACATTTTTAAGAAATCTATTTCTGAATTTCTTACTCATTGACTGCAATTTTTTTTATATAATACTGTGTTTATTACACACAGAGATTTGAAGCAATAGATTATGAGCTTTTAGCCTTTAGGGTTGAAAATATAGTAACTAGAAAATAATGTTGTCGGTTGGGCCCCTGCAATCCTTGTAGGGGCCCGAAGATTTACAAATGAAATATTGACTGTAGTTATAGTGTTAGATTTCTTATATTTTAGGCCACTTAAAAACTATTATCAGCCCGTTAAACAGGGGCCTATCTTGCCAACTAGGTGACCGTAACACAAAATAAATGTGAAATAGTATTATGTGCTTAGTTTTTATTCGTATTTTAGTTTCGATGTATTTACTATTTGTAGCAGAACTACATTATATTGAAGTTTTGTACAAGAGAATACTTTATTATTCATGGCTGCTTATAAACCACCACTCGTGACACAAATGTCTTTGGTAGGCAATAAGACATTTTTTTTTCTTAAATCAATAAATACTCTTCGTCTAATGTTCTTATGTACCATTAATGCAAACATGATCTTAGCCAAAACACAATAAAATGTAGTTTTAATTACCCGTATTTGAAACCTGTTGTATACTACACACTTTAGCTTTATAGAGTCCTTGACTTTGAATCTTAAACCTATTACTTTTAAGATATAAATTACAATATTCATTAAATATTTGAATACGGGTTATGAAGCATGTATATGTGCATGATATAATAATTACATAGTATTGCATGTCGTTTTATAATATGTATGGAATCGTGCTATGAATGTATTTTATACTTCTGTACATAGAGGATTTTGTATCTTATTAAAACTGTAATTGGTTTGATAATCGGCTGTACAAATTGATAGCATTTAGCTTAGTGATACGTCTAACGATAAAACAACCTTTCGTTACCCTAATAATGGCTGGACTGTATTGTAGAGACTACATACCTACGAATAGAGATTTTAGCAGTTAGTTTAATCAATCTCTAACGTAAAGTTATAGTTGTTTTAGATAGAATTAGTAGTACAAGTAGGTGTTTCCTAGCTGTCTTAGGACCTACTCAAATAGTCCTAAAATGATATTGATATTAAGGAGAATTTTGTCTCGGTTTTAGTGTCCACTCTGTAGGTTTATTTACATCAGTCGTTTGTCAAATCATTAAATATTTTTCTTGAATATTAATCTTATATTCGTCTATGTACAAGGGTATTATTAGTCTGTCTAAATGCACGTTAAGCTAGACCTTAGTAATTTCAGTTTGAAACGGCTTACAATTCGTTTTATTTTGTTATATTTTTGTTAAGCACTTTTCTATAATAAAATAAATATTGAACTTAATATAAACTTAGTGTAATTAATAATTAAATCTATATTTGTTTAAATGGTCGCTGTTGAACGATGTTACGTGTTTTTATTAAACAATATACCTTAAATATAGCCGGGGAAGATTCAAAAGGAGTTGACAATGTCTTTGCTTTTATTTTGTATGTGTGTGTGAATAATTCTAATTGTGGTGTTACGTTACAGGCGATCTACCATCTTATCTAACTCGTTTCCAATGGGACATGGCGAAATACCCCATCAAGCAGAGCCTGCGTAACATCGCTGATATCATCAGTAAACAGGTTTGTATTGTTTAATACCTTATTATAAAAACGAACAATTTTTATAATAACTATCGTGAGACAAACTAAATTTACTAAAAATACTGAGAAAAGCTCTACTAGTTTCGTACTACAGTAGGCTGCGCGACATCGTCGCGACCGTGCACGCTGGCGCTGCGCATGAGGAAGAATCCCTGTGTGGTTCTTACTCATGCGCAGCGTTATTTAACGAACCATTTTCATAAAATGGAATAAACTACAAGTTTCATCTCAATTCTTAAAGAAGAAAGATATCCCGTAAGTTCTGACTCCTTTGGTGTTGCATGGGTGTCCATAGGCGGCACTGATTGCTTGCAATCATATGATCCGATATCATCCGTCTGCTCGTTTGCCTCAATAAAAAGAATTGACATATCAGATGTGACACCCACCACTTGAGTTTAATCCTATGTAAAGGATAGAGTAATAAGTAAGTATTAGAATCTACTGCCATATGTATATATGAAACAATGCCAGTTTGTCCAGATGTCATGCCACCACTTAGAAAATAATTCACTATACAAATTACAATTAAAATACTTTAAAGTTAAAACTAACCTATACTAATATTATAAAGCTGAAGAGTTTTTTTTTTGTTTGTTTGAACGCGCTAATCTCCGAAACTACTGCTCCGATTTGAAAAGTTCTTTCTGTGTTGGATAGCCCATTTGTCGAGGAAGGCTATGGGCTATAAAACCTCACGCTACAACCAATAGGAGCTGAGCAGAGCGTGTGAAACCGCGCGGAAGTAGCTAGTCTATACTAATATTATAAACCTGAAGAGTTTGTTTTTTTGTTTGTTTGTTTGAACGTGCTAATCTCCGAAACTACTGCTCCGATTTGGAAAATTCTGTGTTGGATAGCCCATTTATCAAGGAAGGCTATAGGCTATAAAATATCACGCTACGATTAATAGGCGCCGAGCAGAGCGTGTAAAACCACGCGGAAGTAGCTAGTATTTTTATATGGACGGATGGAAAATTAAAACGGATGCCGTGTATTAACAATAATGACTGATGATCACTATTCCTCTATCCAGGTGGGACAGATCGATGCGGATTTAAAACAGAAATCGGGCGCCTACAACGCACTCAAGGGCAACTTACAGAACTTGGAGAAGAAACAGACGTAAGTACTCGAATTTAATTAATTAATTAAATAATGTAATACAATTTTAGATCTATATCTACGAGGTTAAATATTTACAACTTACAACAGTTTAAAAAAACACAGAAAATAAGAAGGAAAGAAAATAAAAATAAATATGTAACTTACGGCGTCGAAAAAATTATCCTCATCGCAGTCGTGACCAGACCAATAATTTCTTTAGTCTTTAAAATAAGTCTAGAAAGTAAAAAAATTGAAATAATGAGTACCCACTACCTAAACATCGATTGCTCGCAATTTTATCATCTATTCTGTAGGGAATAGGGTAGTTTCCTAAATTTTATTTTCATGTCTGATACATTAATTTAAAACATTAGACACGTATTTTTTCTTTCCTCACAAAAATAAATACTTTCGACGATATATTAATTTGAAATACCATGTGACGTCACAGCGTGTCACATTTTGTAGCACGTTATGACGTAAAGACGAACTCCTAAACTTAGCGCCATTTTATCTAAGTATTGCAACTTAATCCGAGAAAATAAATACGTGTCTAATATTTTTTCATTATCTAACTGACGGACTAATTAGATTTTTTTTTATTTTTTGATACCCTGGAAACTACCCAATTTTGGCCAAGCATTTAAACATACTTGCAAAGTTGCAATATGTATACAACCTTGGGTTAAAAAGAGGAAAATGATGTAGCATAACGTCGGTTATCTATAAGCACAATTCTCTAACCAGCATTGAGTTCGTTCCTTCTAAAAATACATACTATCCAATTTATGATTACCCAAACATTATTGCTATAAATCTTAATATCCAATACATCACTTATAAATATCGCTCGCGTATGTTTTAATAGCAAAAATCCTTCGCAGTTTAAAATCCTAGTTTATGATCATTCTCTTTCAAGAGTTTCAAGATTGTTCAAGCTTATTAAACAAATAAAATGTTATATGCTGTGTTTGCCTCGTTGGCCGAGTGGTCGCAAGTGCGACTGCAGGGCAAGGGGTCTCGAGTTCGATTCCCGGATCGGGCAAAGTATTACTAGGGTTTTTAAAAATTCTTTGTACGGAGTCTGGAATTGTGCCCGGTATATGGCAATAGGCTCACCCCCTATTACATGGGACTCATAACATAAATAGTGAAAAATGGGTGTTACATTGTACAGTGGCATAATGTGCGCCTCTGCATACCTATTCGGGGATAAAAGGCGTTATGTTATTTTATTTAAGTGTTTGTAGTGTAATAAATATACTTCATTTACTAGAGTTTACCTGTGGTTTCGACCGTGTTTCTGAGGATAAAGCCCCGTATTTTGGTTGATGATTAGTGCCAAGAAGCACAAAGCATTTACAAGCTATTCAACGTAACACTATTGCAAATTTACAATGCACTTATGTGTTCTTAAAAAGTCGACTACAATTTCGATACATTTAAGAACCTCACAAAAAACTGACGTGGAGCAATGCTTGAGTTGTGTTTCGTCGTGTGAGTGAGGTTACCGGAGGCCCAATTGCCCTCCCCTTCCCCAATCTCCCCAATTATTGAATCCCCTACGATCCTCAAACTCCTAATCCCCAAAAGGCCGGTAACGCACTTGTAACGCCTCTGGTGTTCCTGGTGTCCATGGGCGACGCCGATTGCTTACCATCAGGTGATCCGTCTGCTCGTTTACCGGCTTATGCCTTATGAGCTATGCATCTAGTCCTTTGTACCGTATTCGAATTTGAATGAGCAAAATACGTTTTTTTTTTCGAATGCTAATAAAAATGATTTGTATTAACAGTGGCAGTCTGTTGACCCGTAACCTGGCGGACTTGGTGAAGAGGGAACATTTCATCCTGGACAGCGAGTACCTCACCACACTGCTGGTCATCGTGCCCAAGTAAGTGCAAGTCTGATGATAGTCCTTTCATATAGAGATGTTCACTAAGTGCTACTAGGAAATGTCAAACTTCTTCAATATTTTCCACCAAGATACAGGCTGTGCCTAGTTTGGGGTCCACGGGCACCTCTGCCGTGTTTGCGTTAATGAGTATACTGTTCGCTTCCATGTCTATATGTAATGTAACTTGTGTATGCCAATAAATAAATTTCAATTTCATTTTTTAAATTTCTGTCTTCCATTGGATTAGCAAGAGTAATTTTATTTTATTCGGACCTCATATTTGCAACTTATTTTAATCAATCAAAAAAATAATATAATAAAATTAAAATAAATTAATAAAAACTAAACAAAAAAAAAGCAATATAAAAATAAGTATACCATAAAAACGATTATAAGAATTATGATGATTCGTCAACAATGTTATAATGGTTTTCGCCTAGTGTGAGCCGATCCTACAAATGAACCGCACAGAGGGCCGCATCAATGCAGCACACGGCGGTAGGCCGTGAGATATTTGTCATTAAATATTTTAACGAATACCTCCATATAAACTTGCTTACTTTGTCGTAATAAATTATTATGTTAATGTTAAAATCCTAAAATTGTGACCGCTATTACAACCTCTTGTTGCTCCTGGACAAATCAAAAAATGTAAAATTTGTTTAAGTATTTATTTCTGTACAAGTGATTTGTAATCTTTTAGAAATACATGAATTCAAACCGTAATATTTTGAAAAGAAAAAGCCTATATCTGTTCTAGACTAAATCTGGTCAGCATAGCAATACCTATTTGCAATAATAGGGTAGTTTCCTAATTTAATGTCCGTCTGGTACATTAATTTAAAACTTTAGACACGTATTTCTCACAAAATTAAATACTTTCGACGATATATTAATTTGAAATACCATGTGACGTCACAGCGTGCCACATTTTGTAGCACGTTATGACGTAAAAACCTCCCACTCCTAAACTTAGCGCCATTTTATGTAAGTATTGCAACTTAATACGAGAAAATAAAAAAATACGTGTCTAATATTTTTTCATTGTCTAACTGACGGACTAATTAGACTTTTAATTTTGATACCCTGGAAACTACCCAATTCGTGTTGCAATTATCACGATTGCGCACAAAAGCTGTCTCGAATCATAATCTAGTGCTAAAAGTAACCACAATACTGAGAATTATACATCAAACGACTTGCTAAATGTATGTTTATTTTACTAACACAATGTATCAGGCTAAAATTGTAAAGTTTTGATACAATAGTTTTGGTTTGACGGTAATAAAGACCTCATGCTGTAAGCCATAAAGGCTAATATGGTAGATCAAATGTTATTTTACGTTGTGAATATCTTCATTTAAAGCGTTTCAAACAAATAAAATACTCGCCCTTGTATTCTGCATCTAGGGTTTTCGAGAACATCTCCAATAAGGTAATTTGATTATGGTCCCTCCCGGCGTCTCCATTTTAACATCTTATATGGTTAAAAGTAGTGAAATATTATGTGACCTGTGACTTATTGTGTCATATAAAATGCTTTTAATTTTCTACTCAGAGTTAGGTTGGTTAGGAGCTACCGACCTCATATAGTTTCGTTTACATGTAAGAGTGATTCTTCTCGATCGCTTACTTCATTTCTGAAGGTCGTGCCCCTGAAAGGCTTTCTCTCTGTGTTATTTCCTTCCATCTTGTCCTGTTTTCGTCTTCTCTCAGGGCTTTCGTAACAGAGAGTCCAGTGTAATTGGTAACTTGGTCACACCATCGGCTAGGAGATCGGCCACGTGGTCTTTTTCCTTCCACCTTACCAACAACAACCAGTCGCTGGGCAGTAAAAGTGCTATTTATAGAAATAAAGTAGAAATATGCATTTATTTCCTCAGGTCGATGTTCAACGACTGGAATGCTAACTACGAGAAGATCACGGACATGATCGTCCCGCGTTCCACGCAGCTTATACACCAGGACAATGACTACGGACTCTTCTCCGTCACTCTATTCAAGAAGGTACTACTTATATTACGTACATAATATAGTCGATCGTGATCACGTATCTGCCGATAGATTTGTTTTAGATACAGAATTTTTGATATATTGTTTAATATCAAGCCAAATCTAAGTCAAGTCAGTCTGACACTCCCTCCCGCCTCACCCAGGCGGGAGCAGTCATTCGATGATTTTCCCCCATTGAAAAAAAAATATTATTCACGATGACAGTCAACAAAATTGTGCTGTTTCTACCTGTAAGGGAAAGTTAAATATAACGTCTTTAAAGCCTCCAAAAGGTTCAGCATTTAAATTGTATAATTTACTCTTTTTCTGCGTTATGTATCGCTTGTAATATGAAGTTATTCCTTGCAATACATTGACCACAATTCTAGACTTCTTACTCCCCATTACGCAACCATTACCCCCCATTTTTTGTAAAATTGAAAACCCCAAGAAATAGTTGTTTGATTAAGATGAATTAAGACTATATTTGTATTGTATCTTTCGTGAGACATAGTAAATAAATTATTATGTTTTCGGCTTACTCACGTAATAATTTGACGCGATGACGACGACACGACGCGGCGACTGTCGCGCTGCTACTGTAGCAGCGCGACAGTCGCCGCGTCGCGGGTTGCGAAATGCTGCTCATGAATATGAGCCTCTAGCATGGCTTGAAACTAATCGAGTTCCTCGTCAAATTATTACGTGAGTAAGCCGAAAACATAGCAATTTATGTGAATTAAGACCTTATTAAACTCACATTTGTCCACCAATAGGTAGTAGAAGAGTTCAAGCACCACGCTCGCGAGCGTAAGTTCGTAGTGCGTGAGTTTTCGTACAACGAGGCAGACCTCGCCGCCGGAAAGAATGAGATCACTAAACTCGTTACTGACAAGAAGAAGCAGTTTGTAAGTAACACTCTTTATTTTTTTAATTCTTATTTGGCTTTTTATTTGTTTGGATAAAATTAGACATTGGATTTTACCGCCCTTCCTCACAGATAGATCTGATACTGAGACCTTAGTACCAATTTGTATTACGTTTAAAGTATTCGAAACGAGTATGCGTTGTGCACTCTGATTGGCCGGCACCAATGAAGCAACCAATCAGAGCGCGGAACGAGGTCTCGTCTTTAAACGTAAGACAAACTTGTACTAAGGCCTCTGATATTTGGTACACACTTTTAATCTTTATGAGCATACAAAATAATCTTTTCCACAACTGCCTCCATTATGACCTCATTTAAACTGTCAAACACCGCGAGGACACAGGTAACCGCAACCTATTGGTCTTTAATTGTGTCTATAATGACGGTACTTAAAGGGTTAAAATCGTCTAACATAAAATATAATAATATTTTTTGTAGTCTTTATTGTTAACGACGGGGTGCAAAAGAAGAGGCCCCGTAAATGGTGGGGCCCATCCATTATAGTTATGTAAACGTTATTATTTTTAGCTTGAAAGTTCTACCTATTGGTTATAACACTCGAAAAGGTAGACAGAGATATATTAAAAAGTTACTATGTAATAATAACTTTATCCGTACAGGAATAACATTCAAAATCCTTTGTTCTGGCAAAAAATATTATACAAACATGTTTAGGACTATTCGATAATGTAAGAAAGAAGAAAGAAAAAACATTTATTCAGCATCAGGCATGATGCAGCATAAATCAAAAATAAGAAAGACAATCAAGGTGTGACAGTGAAAGTAATAAAATCAGAATCAAAAAAACAGAAGAATTAGAAGAGAGACAGTCACAGTGTTTATAAATGAACGGGCCCCTATATTATCTTGTGGGGCCCAACCGGCCCTGTCATTATAGAAACATGTACGATATTAAACGCTTACGTTTTTTTAGTTTAGAACTAATCCCTTTACCCTTCCCTCTTCCCCCTTCCCCCTTCCCCCCAAAGCCGACAACGTCATTGTAATGTAATGTGAACGATAATAATTAAATTAATTATTAAGGAACGCAACATAAGTCAGTAATTACTATTCTCTTCCCCAGGGTCCGTTGGTGCGATGGTTGAAGGTGAACTTCTCTGAATGTTTCTGCGCCTGGATTCACGTCAAGGCGCTCCGTGTCTTCGTCGAGTCTGTGCTGAGGTGAGACAGTCAATTTTCTACTTTATTAACAGTGTAGGTTTATAGTTATTTGAAAATAATCGCATAGATACGTTTTACTGGTACATTTTAATTTGACCTATAATTCATGTTGAGTTATTTCATTGGACCAACAAGCAATAAATTAATATTGATCTGCAAGCAGTAATTCAGTAATCGATATAATATTATCGTCCTAACATACTTTGAGGGACGTTATAAAAAGGAAAACCCCATTTGGTACTTGCAAACAAGACAAATTCAATACTTTTTTCGAATTGTCAAAAATGACAGTTTTGCTATCAATTTTGTACGAGATTTTGTATTGTGACATCACGTTTTTTTAGCGTCAAACAGCGTACTTATTTAATGTTGCAGCATACTTAATTGATTAATTTAGTATGTCTCACGATAGTTATTATAAAATCATAGCATACTTATTTCTTAAAAATTAGCTGGAAATATACTAAAATATCACATAATGTCGTGGTGGCTCGAAGGTTTAAGACGCCCGCTTCTCATGAATGAGGGTGCGGGTTCGAAACCTACCAACGGCTAGTACCAATGTGACTTTTTCCGAGTTATATGTACTTTCTAAGATTATTTAGACACCACTGACAAACAGTCAAGGAAAATATCGTGAGGAAACCTGGGCTTATAATTTCTACTTATAAGTTTGAAATCACCAATCCACATTGAGCAATCGAGGTGATTAATGCTCAAACCTTCTTCGTGTGAGAAGAGGCTTTGCTCAGCAGTGGACATTTATAGGCTGTCGATGATGATGATGATGATTAATATTGTACTATTTCCCCCTCAGATACGGGCTCCCAGTAAACTTCCAAGCGGTGGTGATGGTGCCGTCCCGTAAGAACACGAAGAAGTTGCGCGAAGTGTTGCAAGCTCTGTACGCTCACCTCGACCACTCCGCGCACCAACATACTTCCTCCGCGCAGGACGTTAGTATTCATTTTGGAGTTCTTATTTATTTAATATCTAATCTCGCGAGGGGTCTGGGATGCCGTCTCCTCCTTCTGAGAAGCAGTCATGCTAGCCAAAGAAGAGGCGGGGCGCGTGAGAGAAAAAATATTTCTGTGTTGGATAGCCCATTTATCGGCGATGGCTATAGGCTATAAAATATTACGCTACGATTATTAGGCGCCGAGCAGAGCGAGTGAAACCGCGCGGAAGTAGCTAGTGTAATGTAAATGGTGTAAGCCAATAAATAAATTTTAATTTAATTTGATTGACAAAAAGTAATCCTTATGGAAAATTGTTTTGCCGCGGGACGAAAATGACATGAATTTCACGGTGTTTTGTCTATTTTCTCATGTCTATTGTCTATATTGTCTTTGAATTAGGTATTTTGAGTGTAAATGTAAATGTAATTGTTACATCATTATATGAGAGTTTCGAACTCGAATGAGGGCTCATCGTTTTCTGTTCATCAGCCAGGCCGGCTTAGACTGTCGCCCCTGGACACACTACAATTCGGGGCTGTCTTGAAATGTTTCTTTTCTTTTAACGTTATCCCAAACTAAAAAAAGAAAGGAGCGTAGTCCTTTTTAAAAGGCCGGCAACGCACAGATAGGAAACAACAATTTGAGAATCACACAAAGATTTGCCTCGTGCAGGAAGGTAGCGAGTGTCCGTCGTAGAAATTTTCGGTCCTTCGGGGCCCCCTGAGGATGGGCCCCTGGGTACGAGTGCCCTAGTGCCCTTATGGTAAAGACGGTACATTTCATCAGATGGCACTAAATTATGCTTCTACAACCACATAGTGGACTATGTGGTAGACTGCACTTCAGCAAATAGCTTATTGAACAAGTGATCTCTCGGTAGACCAGTGATAGATGGTCAAGTCATTCGCAGTAGACCTTATTGTTACAGTTACAGAAAACGTTAGAAATTGATGGTGCCTTTGATGTTGTAGATATACTTAGGCTACAATGGACACATTGATTTGACTTCCTCACAAAAGCTCGTATATTGTTATGAGCTCCTATTATAGCTCGAAATAGCATAAACAATGATTTTTTCAGACAATCTGAGAATTATGACAATTAATTCTAATATCTTTTACTAGCGACCCGCCCCGGCTTCGCACGGGTGCAATATGCATGTATTATACATACAAACCTTCCTTAAGAATCACTCTATCTATTAAAAAAAACCGCATCAAAATTCGTTGCGTAGTTTTAAAGATCTAAGCATACATACGGACATACAGCGAAAGCGACTTTGTTTTATACTATGTATTGATGTTTTCAGAACGCGGAGATGGCCGGTCTTGGGTTCGGTTCGTCGGAGTACTACCCGTATGTGTTCTACAAGATTAACGTGGACATGATGGACAAGGCCTAACCACGTCGCCACGCTGCAACAAACCCCCGTTATATTAGGTGAGACACTAACTAAGATACATAATTAGGTGCAAAAATAATACTAATCCAATTTAGATTTAGGGACTGACATACGGTGAAGGAAAACATTGTGACGAAACCTTGAAATCAATCTCATTGTCAATGCAATTTCAATCAAAAAAATCTCAATAATGATTTAATATCAAAACTATACAACCCCTTTCGTAGCTGTTGAAATAGCATTCAGAGTACGGAATATAAAGCCAAACTCAATACCATTTAGTTCATTCAATATCCACGCAATACGTATGCAATGGGCGCTAGTGTATTCATATTCATATCTTTACAACTCAAGAGTTCGAAATTTCACAATACCAATATTGATCGATCGGGATTGGAATCAAGAGTAAGCCCCCTGGGCTTATAATTTCTAATTATAAGTTTGAAATCGCCAACCCGACATTGAGCAAGCTGGTTAATGCTCAAATCTTCTCCATGTGAAAAGAGGCCATTATTCAGCAGTGGCCACTTATAAGCTGAGTGAAATGAATAGCGATCTGTCTGCTCATCAACACTTCATAGCTGATAGATTGTTTGGAGAATAGTTTAAAAGGTTTACGCCCGAATACTAGCCGCATTCAGCCCGCGGGCCTTTGTTTGGCCAGCCCTGCTCTAGAGAAATAGTCAATGTCATAGAATAGAACTATGACTACTATGAGGTACAAATTGAAATAATAGTTTATGAGAACAAATAATCAGATTTTTTTCTTATATTTTGTTTGTAGAAGCCTTTAAGTATATAAACTCACGCATTTGTCCTGAGGGGGTAGGTAGGCAAGAACTAGCTTTATTACACAGTAGTTTAGCTTCGCACGGGTGCAATATGCATGTATTATACATATAAACCTTCCTTAAGAATCACTATATCTATTAAAAAAAACAGATCAAAATCCGTTGCGTAGTTTTAAAGCTAAGCATACATGGGACTATGTAGGCATTAAGCGCCGGAATGTGCACCTCTGCCTACGCCTTCGGGGATAAAAGGCGTGATGTTATGATGATGTTATAACTTCATGCTTGTCTCCTATAGGGGTAGGCAGAGATTATGGCACGCCAATTGCTACGATTCAATTATGTTATCTAATATTGTAACGTTTTGTTCCAGGTAATGTTACCAGGTACTTTCTCCTGTGTCTGACCACGTAATGGTCGCGCAATACCATGAACTATCGTCGTACAATTTATTTTACTTACAACATATCTATACCAAATTTATCATTGGCCCTTGAAAAAAAAATCCATATTTTTCTATATGTACAGATGTTTTTGACATAATTTTGTTTTGTGACAACTTTAAATCATATTTTTTCATTTACACGCCGGTTGTTGATATAGATGTTTGTGTAATTTATATTATATATGTTATTTATAAAATAAGATGCCATTTTGAGAATTGAGATGATTAAAAAAAAGAATATAAAATTGTTGCAATAATAATTCTTGATGGAGCTTATAGCTTTTTGTTGATGTTAAATAAAAAAACTGTTAATAAATGATTGAGTTCAGTATTATACTTGAGTTGCGTAGTTTAGCGTGACGCATACAATGTATATTAAAGTAAATAACATCAGATGCAAACTATGTAAATAAGAACATTCCTCATACATGTGTGTAGTACATAATAAAATATTATTCAAGTTACTGTTTTTTCTCGTTTTATTTTAACTGTGTTTTTATAATAACTATCGTGAGACATACTAAATTAACTAGAATCCCGGGTTACTCGCGTGCACGGTGCTCGTGAGGAGGAGCCCCCCTGTGGTTCGAAACTAATAGAGCTTTTCTCAGTATATTCACGTGAGTAACCCGCGATTTTAGTTAATTTATTTTAACTGTATATTGTTGGCGTAGTTATTAACCCTTTAACCGCCGACAACGTAATATTACGGTTTTCGAAAGCTGTGTCCGAATCGCCACATACGTACAATCACGTTATTTTATTAAAAATCTTCTTATAGTGCACAAACTCCATATAAAATGTGTCAATTTCAAGATGTAGGGTATAATATTTATTGTTATGGATATTTCTCAAGATAAATACTGTGAAATTTGAGGTTTAATTAAATTGTGGTCACCGTCTCCATTATCTGTATCGCCAATCACGTAATTTTACGAGTACTAGGGATGGGGCGAATTCGAAAAATACTTAATAGGTTGTCTAAGAACAAACAAGGCACTATAGATATTACTGTCACTATTTGCAATGAAAGTGTATACTTTCATTAGAAAATAACCATAGTGTTACTTTGATGCAAGTATTTGTACTAATTAAAATGTATTTAAGTTTAAAATTATTTAATATTTATAACAATAATATAAAAATTTCATAACGCAGAACCGCACTAGTGCGGACAATCGCCGGTCGCCATCATCGTAATATTACGTGCGGCCAAGGAGATTATAGCGCTGTATTGTGAGTTGCCTTAGCGCCGTCACCGTAAAATCACGTTAAACATTTATCACTCAATGCAACTAGTGTTGTAAGCCCTTTTTTGGGTTTTTGTTATTTCTCAAATAAATCAACACAGTCAAAACCAAATGTGTCCATTATGCAAAGTTAGAAGATGGTGACGCAAAAGTTTTTGATCAGAGACCAAGTGATCCACGAAATGAATACTTTGCATCTTTAAAACCTTTTGAGCTGGAAACCGTACTGTCGGAAATCCGCTCAGAAGTTTACATGAAATTATTAAATTTAATACGACATGCTCGTGGAGCATCGTCACCGTGTCGCCAGCAGGAGAACGGACGACGCCGTGCCCATTTCCCGAATACACATTTTCGTATACTTCGTTTGAAGATTGAAAATTTTTAGATTATTTATTAAGTAGGTAAATAAAACATTGATTTTAATTAATAAAGAATATATGCATCGATATTAAGTGTTCCCAACACTGTTCCAACTTATACCTAAAGTGACGTGGCGCTGGAGGTAAGTTGAAAGTTCAGAATCTTGGCGGTTAAAGGGTTAACCTCTGCTTCTTTTACTTCTCCTTTCTTGGCTCGCAGACTTACCTACGACCAGGTGATGTACTCTTTCCCCACTTCTTTTCTCTATTTTTAACAACCTTATTTCTCCTGTACTTCAGTTTGCGTACCATTTGTATGTGGACGACTTGCAGCTGTAAGTACCGTCAGTAAACTTAGTAGTGATCTAACAGCTGTTCAAAATTGATCGGAGAGGTTTGGCATAACTGTAAACCCAAACAAGTGCCAGGCCATAATTATAGGTAGCTCTCGGAATCTCAGAGATTCTCGGGAATCTTGAACGGAGGCGCAAGCCGATACCGGTCTTCTATCGAATACATTTCAGTCTTCTATTGCATACATTTCGGTCTTCTTACATTTTGGTGAGTGAGGATGTGTAGGAATTCCACAACCTTATTCCCTCTTTGTCTGTTTCACCATCGTACTGTAAGGGTACTACATATAAGGGTGGCGCTCTTTATATGGTGGGCATTCCACCCATCCACCCATTGGCACGAAGTGTTTTGCATCGACTTTCCTAGGGCGAGCTGCTAAAGAATGGTATTCCTTGCGTCTTCGCTGGAATCTGTTTCCCGACAAATATAACTTCCCAACAAATCTCGTACTGTCTTCAAGTCCAGAGTGAACAGGTTGCTCATAGATAGACATGCTCTATCGTCGGCCATATCTTTGCTTACCACCAGGCGAGATGGTGCCCAAACGTCATCTTACCAAGTTAAAAATAATTATCAATTGGACTCTGCCTGCCCCCTGGGAGACAGTCATAACTTATGACTAAATGTGATATCATTGAACATGCAAAAATTATGTATTTTAAATATATGGAATTACACCTCTTTTACTATGAACAACACACATATTATGATAGTATTCAGAATAGTGCTCATAACA